GACTGAACCAGACCAGACTGAACCAGACCAGACTGAACCAGACCAGATTGAACCAGACCAGACTGAACCAGAACAGACCGAACCAGACCAGACCAGAACAGACCAGAACAGACTGAACAACGCTGATGGGTAAAAACAAACATGGCCGCCATGGCAGGTAAACCTGGGACATGTGAGCAGCTGCAGAGGAGAAACGTGTTCTGGTGTTTGCCTCAGATCAGAACACAGACCGGTGTTCACACGGGCTCAAAGAACAACATTTATTTTAACTGGAGAAACTGCATTTCCTGCAAAAATGCAGTGTGAATGCTTATTGCACAACTTGTTGAAAAACAGCTGAAATTTGTTAAAAATGCATGATGAAATGTAGCTAAAATGGAAGAACAAGCCTAAATTAGCAGGAGAAAACAGAAAGAACACACATTTGCTGAATTAATTTTGAATAAGCAGAAATTAGCACAAAAATAAAGAAATCAGCTAAAAAAAGTTGAAATTTGCAAAAATTAATAGCTGAATAGTAGCTGAAAATGCAGAAAGAGGCTTAAACTACCAGAAGGAAGTAGAAAGAGCTGAAATGAGTTAAAAATGTGGAATTAGCTGAAAAAGCTAAAATTACCATAAAACAGCTAAATAGTAGCTGAAAGAGCAGAAAAAGTTGAAACTAGCAGAAAAATCTGAAAGGAGCATAACAAGCTAAAATAAGCATAATTAATTAACTAATTAATTAGTTGTTAATTAGGCTGAAAGTAGCAGAAATTAACATGAGAAAAAGATTATCTGAAAACACTTAAATTAGCTAGAAAGGTAGCTGTGAATAATCACTGTGAAAAACCATATCATGTTGCTGCTGATCTGTTTCATGTTGCTGCTGATCTGTTTCAATGTTGATGTGTTCATGCGTGCACATCTGCTCACAGACTCATGTTCATGTTTGTGCTGATGTTCAATGTTTTATGTTATGAGTGCTTAGTGTATATTTAGTTGATGTTTTTCTTAGTTCATATCTCAGATGTTATTACTGTTTTTCTTATACATTTTATTGTTGGATGTAACTGGGACCCTGTGTACATAATTTCGCTCCACCACATGTACCACATGAGGTGCGAATGACAATAAAGAAACTCTGACTCTGAACATGTAGAACAAGCTTAAATTAGCAGAAGAAAGCAAAAATAACGTTTGTCCAATTATGTTGTAAGAAGCAGAAATTAGCATAAAAAAGTTGAAATTATCTGAAAAAACCTGAAATGAGCAAAAAACTGCTGAATAGTAGCTAAAAAGCAGAAAGAAGCTGAAATTACATGGGAGCAGAGAGAGCAAATTTTTGCTGAATTAGGCTGAAAAAAGTTGAAATGAGTGCAAAAAATGTGGAATTAGCTGAAAAAGATTAAATTAACATTAAACAGCTAAATAGTAGCTGAAATAGAAAAAACTAAAACTTGCATAAATTAGCTGAAAGGAGCATAACAAGCTGAAATTAGCAGAAAGAAGTTAGAGGAAGCACAAAAATGTTGTAGTTAGCAGAAAGAATCTGAAAGGAGCAAAAAAACAGCTGAAATTAGCTGAAAGTAGCTGAAAAAATGTTTAAATTTGCAGAAGGAAGCTGAAAGAAGCCGAAGCAGAACAAAACGTGAAAGGAGCAGTAAAAGGTTGTAAACACAGATTTACAGATTTGAAGGATGTAAAATGAGCTCAGTTCATGTTCTCTGAGAGGAAAATGTCAGAAAAGGCTAAATATTTCAAAAAGCTAAAGTTGCACCAATGACCAGAAGTCATAGCAGGTCTCTCTTGTAAATGAGTCCTCGAGGCTCTCGCTGGGATTAACCAAAGGCTGAATGAAAAGCAGGATTGTCCTGAACGAGCTGAACGTTTTGAGTCATGATTTGTTGAAACAGCTGAAGGGTTCAGTTAATAGTGACTGCTTCATAAACAGTAACTGAACCGTTGCTCCGTCGGGTTCTCACAGCCACCAGAAGGCCGTGCTCTGTCAAACCTTCAGCCTTTTGTTGGTTCGGGTCAGAACAATCGAGAGCGGACGTGGTGTTGAAACAGCAGATTGTGTCCATCGTCTCGTCCCGGGGTCAGTTCAGGGTCCAGGTGACGTCAGCACCTGCCGCTAACTTTCACCTTCTTCTTCTTCTTGTTGTCCGACAGATCTTCTGACCTCCAACATGAAACTGAGCGCTGCTCTCCGAGGCTGCGACCTGAAAAAACCTTTCACGTAAAAACGTGTAAAAAAACCATGAAAAATATTTCCTTTGATTATAAACAAAGAAAAGGATAAATATATAAATGACATTAAAGAAGCAGAAACAGATCAATATATTAGAAGATGAATAAAATGCTGGTATCTTTTGATCTCTTTCCATTTCCACATTGACTCCTCCTTACTGTTCCCTGATTGGTTGATGGTTCTGGAGGCTCGGGGCTGCTGGACCCATTAGGAGCTGATTTTAGAGGCTGCATCAGTCTGTTAGAGCTGCCTCTGCCTGTTAGCAAGGCACTAACACTGCTGAGGTTCCAGGTCCACACACGCACTTGAGTCCATGGTGCAGTGTGTGTGTGTGTGTGTTCATGGACCCAAAACACACACCGTTCCATTTACTGAGTGTGTGTGGACCTGGAGGATTGTCTGTTCCTGACTGAACACACACACGTGCACACACACACATACGTGCACACACACACATACGTGCACACACACACACACACACATATATATCTAGAACACATCAGGTTTACATTCCTACAGAGCAGCTGCTGAGACTGCTGGATTAATACTGCAGGTAACACGCACGCACGCACGCACGCACGCACGCACGCACGCACGCACGCACGCACGCACATACAGAGTTCAATGGAGGGAAACCCGTCCCTGAATAATACTTGTCTTCCATCAGAAGCTGATTGTTGAAACGCAGGATGATTGTCATCATGGCTGCCCCCCCTCACAGGGGGGGGTCTGTGGGGCACTTTGGATCAGAGTCACTGAGGCAGACTTCACTTAAAGCTGGAGCAGGCCCAGAGCAGCAGGAAGCAGGAGTACCAGGAGAACGTCCAGGCTTGGGGATGCGGTTCGAGACCCCCCTGAGAGGACGGAGGAGGTCCTGATCTCGGAGCTGAGGAGGGCCGACAGGGGGACGTGGGACACCAGGGTGGGACTTGCATAGTTGACCAGGGAGTCAATCTTCTCGGCCTCCTTGCTGCAGGCCTCGACCTGAAACAGAAGCAGAAGGTCTGAGAGGTTCAGCTGGACCGGGTCACCAAGCTGCCATCATTAAAGCATGACTGTCCCACTGATCTAGTCCCAGGACCACCATGTGGTTTTTAGAGAGAGAAGAAGCTGTGACCTTTGACCTTTAACATGCTGATTGAGGTGGAGCTCATTCTTCTGAGCACTGCACGGTCTGACCTTCAGGGTGAACATGATGGGCAAACTGCCAGCTGTCCTAAAAGTTTCTAGCTGTAAATAATCTTTCTCTCCGTAGAGCGATGGACTGCAGGTTGTCTGAAGATGACCTTTGACCCTTCCCCAACTGATGGACAGAAACAATTGCTTCTGAGGTCATTGCTGATGATTTTCCTCCTTGGCATTGTGTTAACACACACCTGTCTCCTCCAGAGCAGCTCCTGTTTTTAAAGAGGTGATCCCACTGATGATGATGATGAACATCTGACTGACACTCAGCCCCCCAGGACTTGGCTGATCCTGAACCTGGTAGGTCCTGTGGGGGCAGCGAGGCTGGACACAGTCTTCCACTCCCGTCTTTTCCAGTTTCTGTTGAATAAATAATGACCTGGTGGAATCTGTCGTGTGTTTTGTTCACTTGACGTTCGATTTAGATCATTTAAGAAGCTCCGTGTCTTCAATAGTTGGGTCGATGTGACAACAGGTCCAGCAGAGAAACCCAGACCTCCCTCCATCACCCATCCATCTCCCCCAGAAATTTTTGAACGAAGAACCGTATTTTCCGCCGTACTTGTCGCACCACCCTGTAAGTCGCTTCAGTCCATATTTGTCTAATAAAGTGGAAAAATCCATAAATACGTCGCATCATTACGAGTCACCGCTGACATCCCGGAAATGTGGACCGGTGTTGTGCCAAAAACCGATGGGCTGCCAAATGGCGGGCATGGGAGCGTGCACGGGAGGACTTTAACAATAATTTAACAAGATTAACACTTAAAAACAATTATTTGTTTGCTCGAAACGTTAAATGTGTCTCGGTCTAACGTTTGCTTAAAAAATGCACTTTGATGATCAAATCAGCTGAATTTCAAAACCCGATACGCGGAAGTAAACACGTGCACGCGATGAGTCGCTGTACAACTTTAACAAGATATACACCTTAAAACAATTTTTTGTTAGCTCAAAATTATATCAAATGTGTGTATTAATCTAACGTTTGCTTAATAAATGCACTTTAATGGTCAAATCAGATGCATTTCAAAAATAGTTTTGCTGCTGAGGTGCTCCCGGGAGCGCGCAGACAGGGAGGAAAAAAGGAAGGAGCGCTACTCGTTTAATCAAAATTTAACCAGAAAAGCACCTAAACAATTATTTATTTGCTTGAAATTATAGCAAAGGTGTGTCTCAGTCCAACGTTTAATAAATAAACGTACTTTAGTGGTCAAATCAGCTGCATTTCTCTGGGGCAGTGCAGCTGCTTTGACGGTTCCAAGCAGCGAGCAGAATGAAGGCGGGGAGTATGGCAGGCCGATTGAGTCATTAATATCTGGTGAAGATTCTCAGTCTTCCAGGACATGGTAAACTCAAAAAAGTTCAAGAAAAAAAAAGTATAAAGTATAATAAATAATGTCCAGTTGTTTTTGTCTTGAACTTTTTTGAATTTTTAATTATTTCCACTTTTACCTATTACATGATACAACAGCATGCCATACTGCTACTACTACTCTGCTTCCATCTAGTGGCTGAAAGTGGTACTGCTAAAAAAAATGCAGTCAGAATGAATGAAAACGGTCATATCTCAGCCAAAAATTGGTTTATAAATATGGGAAAAATTCCATAAATATGTTGCTTCCACGTATAAGTTACAAGGCGTGTAAATTATGTAAAAAACTGTGACTTATAGGCCAAAAAATATGGTAGATGTGACTTCCTACATTTTATGGTATTTTAACAAGTTGTTCAACATCTACGTTTACCTACAGAAACACTGCTTCTGTCAAGCATCCTACCCCCCCCCCCCACTTGACGGTTATGAGTCGCCTCTTCTCACTGAATTCACTGTCCCACTCCACATGTGAAGCCTCCAGGCTCCTCCTCCGTCTGTTCCACAGCTGCCTGTGGGCTCCTGCCCAGGTACGACTGCCCGGTTAGCTCGGCACTCACCCCCATGACAGTCACATTTGTTCAGAACTTTATTAGTAGACCTGAGAGTTACCGGATCCAAGCAAAATTACCAGAACACACCCTGTCAAAATAAGAGTTCCCGGATCCTGTTCCGGCAGGATCTAGCTCAAATTAAGCCCTGCTCTGGTCCCCATCTGGATCTAAAAAGGCCTAAATATTTGAGTAAAAACAGCAGTGCACATAAATCCAACATCTTTTAAATGTTTTTTTTTTCATCAAAATGTTTCAGTGGACTCAGAGACTGAGTGTTGTTTTTAGGTTTTTGAGTTCATCAGCATGTTACCTGCAGAGGGGTGGGCTGCTGCTCTACTGGAGCGATGAGGACTACCAGCTGGTGGTCCAGACTCAGGTAACCGAAGATGTCACACTGTGGCACCGAGACGTAAAGCCGCAGGTTCTGCAGGACGTCCAGGACCGTCACAGGTTGGTTCTTGTTCAGCTGCAGCAGAAGGAGCACAGACGGACCTGAGTGCTGAGCTCTGACTTGATTACAACTCAGGGGGACCTCGTGGTGGTCCAGGTGGTCCCCCAGTGAGAAGCTGTCAGCTCTGAGATGCTTCCAGCTGCAGAAATGTTTCTCTGGGAAACAATCAGTTGAATTTAGGAATGAAAGCAATAATTTAGAAGAACCATCTAAAACCAATCTGTCCATGAAGTGACAGGGTTTCAGCACAGGTGACCTTTGACCTCTTGGTACCTTGGAGAAGTTGTTGATGAGCTTCTGGCTCCAGAGGATCTGCAGTATGCTGCCACAGACAGGACAACAGGCTCCTGGAAACAGGTCAGAGGTCACTCTCCAGTCTAGCTTCCTGACTGCCGTGTGCTGTGGTTCCACTCACCTGGGGGGGTGACAGGGCGGCAGCCGGGGGTCCTTATCGTTGGGCAGGAAATCGATCTGCAGGCTGAGTCGGGGGCCATGCCGGACACGGCCCCCATGGTGTGGCAGGGGCCCTCGTAATCCACAGCCACACGGTCGGAGAAGGCGTGACACGTGGTGTCGTAGGTCTCCCCGTTGTGAGCACAGACCTTGCGGGGCGTCTTGCACACCTCCTGATGATGGGGAGGGGGGGGGGGGTCCAAGAGTTACTGAGCTCAGAACCAAACCACACAACAAACACTGAACCGGGTCTCTGACTCGGGTCACACTTCCTACCATCAGTTCTCTGTCAGCCAGCAGGGGGCAGTGCAGGAACAACTACTGAACTCCACCCGTCATGATGGAGTTCAAACAGTCTCTGAGGAACCACAGAGGTGGAGCTCAGGTTGGTCCATGCAGGGCTCTTCAACTAAACTGCTCAGGGGGCCACAGTTACTGAAAGCCCAGAGCTCAGGGGCCGGACATGCAGCAGTTATTGTCATTAAATTTGTTTTATGGTTTAAAATCTACTTTTATTTAACAATCAATCAATCAATCAATCAATCAATCACCTTTATTTTACCAGGTAGAGCCCGTTGAGATCGAGATCTCTTTCACAAGTAGGACCTGGACAATGAACAATGAACCACTGGTGGACCGTTGGGCCTGATTTGGCCCCCGGGCCACCGGTTGAATAGCCATGGTCTAACAGAGTCCTGAGGAGGATTCAGCTCTGACCACATGATGCGTTAGCTCAACATCTGTAGTCGGGCTCAACATCTGTAATCAGGCTGAGCTATGTGTCGTTTAGTTCAAGAGGCTGTGGCAGCCATCTTGAATGGTCTGACTCCAGCAGTGGATGAACGTCCAGTCATTACTCTCTGACACTTTCAGTCAAATATTGCTGTTCCCTACCTGACACTGTCCCGTGTAGGCCAGGGTCTTCCCCCCCTGCTGCAGGTGGCACAGACTGCGGTGGACCAGGCCGTCCGTGTCACAGACCGGGTCATACAAGTTCTTATCGCAGGTTCCGGGTCGACCCACACAGTCGTACTGAGGACAGTCCGACGAGTTGCTCAGACACACGCGGTGCTTCGGGACGCACCTGAAAAACGCGCAGAGCGCACCCAGCATGTTTTTATATGAGAGGAGGACACGACAGAAACCACACAGGTTCTGTAAAAACACAACAACAACAAAAACAAGAAGAAAAACAACAACTGCATGTCCTGGGAGGCTGGCTCCAGTCCCACAAGCCTTTCACAGTAATTTACAGAATATAAGGTGCTATGTTTCCACAGGCTTTGAACCCCGTAGCTTAAACAATGCTGCGGCTAATATATGTTGGTGTTTTTGACGGGCTAACGAGCTTCATGCAGCCGAAACGTTCAGCCTCGTCACGCCTGGGCGCTCACAGAGCTGCCAACACACGTCTCTCTTGTGGGGTGGGTCCTCGTGACTCAGTGTACCTGTATAAATAAAATAAGAAATTAAAAATAAAAATCTGACTAATGAAATGTCCCAACCTGGCACAGTGGACTGGTGGTGAAGAAAGGTGACGCCGTCAGTCTGCCTTCTAAACACGATGTGGTAACCTCTGCTCTGTTCGTCTGTGCCCACTTTTATGTTTTAACTTCTAATAATGCTTTAAAGTTATAATTTTATGAATGATGTCCATTGTTATTTACTAGGTTTGACTTAATCAATAATACGTGTAAGAAAGTAACCGGTTCAAAGTTTTATATTCTGTTAAAATGCACAAGTTTTCTGTTTTTGATTCGATTCTTTTGTACATTTGTAACATTTATTATAAAATCAGCACTAAACAGGCAACATTCACTACTGCAGCGTAACTCACCACAGATTACAATGTTATCTGCAAACATCATAGTCTACGGGGATTCCTGCCTGATCTCATCTGTTAGTCGGTCCATCACCAGAGCAAACAAGAAGGGGCTCAGAGCTGATCCTTGATGCACTCCCACCTCCACCTTGAAGCTATCTGTCACTCCTACAGCACATCTCACCACTGTCCTGCTGTCCTCATACATGTCCTGCTGTCCTCATACATGTCCTGCTGTCCTCATACATGTCCTGTACCAGTCTAACATACTTCTCTGCCATTCCAGAGTTCCTCATGCAACACCACACCTCCTCCCTCAGCACCCTGTCATAAGAAATCCATCAAAGACACAATGGAGTTCTTTCTGACCCTCTCTGTACTTCTCCATCAGCGTGACTTCTCCATTTGCGTAGAAAAACACTCATCTCCAAAACTAAAAACATTCACTATTCAAACCCCTCAGAGATGGGGGACGGTGGTGTATCACTTGTTGATGTAGAAACTGTGTTAGAAAATGGAGTATTTTGATGAAGAGATGAAGTGATCCTAAAACTAATGATGTATCTGCTTCCCCGTGTTCTCCTGTCATGGTTTATGTTTTATTTTGATCCTTTGGGTTCTGTTGTATTTGTCCTTTGTGTTTTAGTTCAGCCCATGTGCACTGTATGCCAGTGTTCCCTCTCACCCTCAGTCAGCCTCACCAGTTCAGTTGTCACTCACACCAGTTCCTAATTTACAATCGTTCCAGGTGCTTCCACTTTCCACTCACCCTCTGTCCTACTTAAACAGTTTCTCGTCACCCCCCCCCCCCCCCCCCCTCATCGGTTCATTATCTCGGCTCTCTACCAAATGTCCCGGTCCTCCGTCTCACGCTCCTTGTATTGTTTGTAAGTACTGCTGCCACGTCAACCCTTCATTTTCATTTGTTTGTTTAATAAATCAGTTTTTATTTTACTTCATGTTCCCTGTGTCTACCTGCACTTGTGTCCAACCACCAACCGTAACAAACGCACACGATGATGAATGTTAGCGTAAATCAATGAATTGAAAACATGATGTGAATGGTATTTATATAAACATGAACTCTGTCATGGTTCCAGGCCTCGCTCCAGTTGGTCCATGAGTCCTGTGTGTTGTCAGGTTAGTGTCTCTGAGAGATAAAAGCCCTGGAAGCAGCAGGGTAACGGCGTATGTTTGGACAGCAACGGCTGAGCAGAGGGGCCTGGGGATAAACAAAGAGTTGTGAATAAAACTGCGTCCCCAGGCCCGCACAGTAAACCAGCGCCACCTGAAACAACAAGATGGCTGTCAGTCAACCGAGGGACATGGGACGGGTGCAGGAGCAAATATATGGATGGATTGGATGTGTTTTTTAAAATTCAATTAAATAATTAAAAGTAAAACATTACACGACAGTTATCATTATACATTCAACGAAAAACAAAAGAACAAAAGCCAGGGGGATTATTCAAATAAACACATTAAATAAAGAGCACAAATCAAACGTTTTTATAGCTTTCTTGTTGCTTGAGTCACGAATGGTTACAATGTTCAGACTCCACGTGGAAGACCTGAAAAGAGGGAACAGAGTGACTAACCTTTGATTTGCGTATATGATATTTCCCTAAAAGTATGATGAAATTTATGATATACATTTCTTTCTGGTTTTTTTGTTTTCGGTCTCATGGACTCCTAAACAGTACATTGTTCCAACTTAAACAAAAATTGGAGTCAATCTTTCTCTGGATCAATGAGATGACTTCTTTCCGGAAGGTGACAGTTTTGTGACGAAGCCAGAACAGGTGGATCATAGTCTCAGGTTCAGACTCACACAAATATCTTTCCTAAATTTTAACATGCACTGCTTGGCCCGGTAGTACCTGTGGATTAATTTATAAGATACTTCTCTTACTTTGTTTATCACTAAATATCTATATAGCAGTTTCCACACATTGACCCAGTTCAGCCCATCTACAAATCCAGCCCAGTAATGAACAACATAGGGGATAGTGGTAACATCTGCTTGAAATAATGACTTAATATTACGATTATTATTTTTGGATTGGACTGAAAAGCATAAACGACCAACTGGTGTCATCAAGGGGACAAAAGGTGGAATAAGAGCTGGTTTCTCAGCATCTTTTAATAAAGAACACCAGAGGGAATAGTATTCATTACTAGATAAAATTATTTTGGGGTAACAGGAAAATAAAATGTCTGCAAGAACTCAGAGTAGTTCAGCAAATTCCCATTATCATTAAATAGCTGAGATACTAGAATCATGCGGTTATCAAACCACAGGTTTAAAAAAAATTGTTTATTTTTGTATTTGATGTGTTGATCGTTCTAAATGAAACATTTATGTGGAGAAACATTGTGTTTATAAATTAAAGGCCATGCCAACATTTGTTTATGAAAATTCGATAACAAAAGGGGGAGTTTATGTGGTGCTCCGTTTCCTGTCAGTTCTCTTGACAGCTGCCTGAACTCACCTCTGGTTCCTGGGGCAGGTTTTGTCTGCGCAGGGGTTAACAATGTGGCACTGGCCGAAGATGTACTGATGGTCCTTGAAGCCCATGCAGCGCGCCACGCAGCCACTGGGGTACGTCTGTCCGTTAGAGGCACACACTGGGATGAAGTGGTCTGGACAGGCACAGGGGAGACCTGTGGGATCAGGACACAGTCATTTTCAGCTCACTCAACTTGTGTCCATTCTAACAAACTATAAAACCCTAAAATATATTTTTTAAAGCAACTGGACTTCTGTATCTGAATATGTTTCTCTTCCTAGAAACAAACTTTTTCTAGTGAAAACTTGAGATCCAAGTTCTAAACTGCAAGAGATGCTCTGTTTATACAGCTAAACTTACATGCAGATTAATCTCCCTCCCCTCCCTGCTGAGGGTCATTAAGGTCTTTGTTAGGTTTCCCCTGTTTACACAAGAACGACCTCTGGAAATGTTAGTTTTTTTCTATGCTTGTTGGAACAAATAAACACAAAAAGAGCAGGTGATTTTGCGCACTGATTTCATCGGTGCAGGGAGTCGCACCGGTCCGCTCATCCCCATCTAAGGGTTTAAAGTTTACCTGGGTTATTGAGCATGAAATTTGGTGTTTTGAACCACTTTGACTGCCTCAGAGGAGTTGACGGGGGAGAGGGCGGGCCCCAGAAGCTATCTTATCACCAGCAAACTGTTTTTTTCCCACTATGGACTATGCTGCTTGTGGAACTCAGTTTGTTTGGTGGCTTCTCAGATTGAAGAAGTCCTTAGGATGAAGGATGAAACGTCTCAGCAACAAAAGAAACCGTCCAGATGACCTGACTGAACATTGCTGGATTACTACCTGGGTTATTGAGCATAAACTTTGGCCTTATGGTTTTAGTTTCTGTAATTCTAGAGGTTAAAGTTCTGAATATCCAGTTCTATAAACCACACGGAGGATAAAAACAAATAGTTTTATGAAATAAGCTGTGCACACAAGAACAACACAACAAGTCTGAAATGGTCCCAGTCCAGAAAGAGCATGGTTCTATGAACACAGCAACCAGCTTCTTGACCTTTTGGCCAACCTGATCTCAGTCAAACCAATGAGAAGACGCACCAGTGGCATGAGTGGCAGTGGAGAAGCCAGGGCTGGGACACTTCCTGTTGGAGCAGATGGTTTCTCCATAGAAGCAGGAGCAGGTGTTGCAGTCGGTCTGGAAGGTGGTGCCATGGTCTGAAGGTAAGAACAGAACACCACATGGACAGAAGGTTTCAAAAGTCTCTTCTGACAGGACGAGTTTAACAAAACAACAGTCCCATCACTTTAGTATTTGTTGTTGATGATGAGGCTGCAGGAACGTTGTCAGAGGTGGTTTCAAGCTTATCCTTGGGACTTTCAAAGGCTTTTCAGAGTCAGAGTCAGAGTCAGAGTTTCTTTATTGTCATTCGCACCTCATGTGGTACATGTGGTGGAGCGAAATTATGTACACAGGGTCCCAGTTACATCCAACAATAAAATGTATAAGAAAAACAGTAATAACATCTAAGATATGAACTCAGAAAAACATCAACTAAATATACACTAAGCACTCATAACATAAAACATTGAACATCACCACAAACATGAACATGAGTCTGTGAGCAGATGTGCACGCATGAACACATCAACATTGAAACAGATCAGCAGCAACATGAAACAGATCAGCAGCAACATGATATGGTTTTTCACAGTGATTATTCTAGTTAGAGATTCATGAGTCTAACGGCCTCAGGGTAGAAGCTGTTCCTCAGTCTAGTGGTTCTACACTTAATGCTCCTTAACCTCCTTCCTGAGGGGAGTGGGGCAAAAAGTGTGTGTGCTGGGTGGGTGGGGTCCTTCATGATGCAGGTGGCCCTCTTCCTGCATCTGGAGGTGTAGATGTCTGTGATGGTGGGGAGACTGATTCCAACAGATTTCTGTGCAGCCTTCACCACTCTCTGCAAAGCTTTTCTTTCTGCAGCTGTGCAGCCTCCATGCCACACATTGATGCTCGAGCACAGGATGCTCTCCACTGCACACCTGTAGAAGGAGGTGAGGACTGAGCTTCCCAGACCAGCTCGCCTCAGCCGTCTGAGGAAGTAGAGTCTCTGATGAGCTTTCTTGATCAGGCTGGTGGTGTTGTTGCTCCAGCTGAGGTTGTCATTCATGTGTACACCCAAGTACTTGTAGCTGGAGACCACTTCCACCGCAGATCCTCTTATGTTCAGGGGGGTGTAGGTGTTTTTGTTCCTTCTGAAGTCCACAATCATCTCCTTTGTCTTCTTCACATTGATGTGATGGTTATTCTCTCTGCACCAGCTCTCCAGGTGTTCCACCTCTTGCCTGTAGCTGGACTCATCATTGTTTGTGATGCATCCCACCACCGCTGTATCATCTGCAAACTTTACAATGTGACAGCCTGGATGGGTAGCTGCA